CAAAGTCTGTTTAAAATAGAAAAATTACAAGTATATTATTTATCAAATTCGTAATAAACGTGTGTAACACACCTCTTCATAAACACACACATAGATAATTAAATATAGAGTTCTCACCAGGGTTATAAGATGAGGACGTCATTTACAGAAGTAAACAGATTAGAAAATCAACTCGAAACAGTATCTACTTATACAATAAAGCAGGTTAGAAAATCAACTATGAACAGTAGTTATTTCCAGAGCTATACAATAATTCTATGAACATAACTTAAAATAAAAATGCTTGGTAACTAACGTGGCTAAATTATTCACTAAAGTGAAAATGAGTTGAGTCCAAATTCCGTCCTGTGCTGTTCTGCAGACGTAGGTTGATATAAGCAACAGTACGACTAATGTTACTTTCATCATAGTGAGGATTCGATGTCACACGTCAAACTTTCACAGCTTGAAGTTCGCTATAAATATGGACCATGAAACTTTTGTGTCATCATTTATATAGTAGAATGAGCTGCGAAAATGAACGTTTGTTGCGAAACTTCTTTACATTTTTATCGACATTGCATCTAAAACCAATTTAAATTCTTTATTATTTTTTTAAAGAAATTTAATTATTTCTTCCCAGAAAATTCTGGTTTATAGTGTATTTTCCAAATATTCTAGCAGGTTTTCTAATCAGCAAGTATTTCGGAGAGTTTTGTGGTTAACAAACATTTCAGCAAGTTTTGTAATCAACGTCTTCAAAACAATGCAACGGATCAATTTGTATAATGTGATCATTTCACGAGAAACAAAACAATAACTAAAACTACGATAAAGGGAAATCCCCTTGATTGAGTCGACGTCGCTTTAGTGTTTTTCTTTACAGCGAATGCGATGACGTAATACAAGTTGCTTGATCTACTACTAAAGTTAAGCCTTTATCGTTATGATTACCTTTCACAACTCACGGTTTATTACACTAGCTGTATCAACAGTCCTTTCCTCTAGTATCACTACAATAATTTAAAAAATTGTTGATTTTTAAGAAATATGTGAATTTGCAACTAAAATTAGTTAAAATTCGTTTTCCTTTGGAGAATATAACACACGACTTATAAATAGTGTAGTCAAACTTGTTTAAAAATTGGAGTTTATGTTAAAGTTTCGTTTTATAAATACAGTGTAATAAAACTTGTTTAAAAATTGGAGTTTATGTTAAAGTTTCGTTTTATAAATACAGTGTAATAAAACTTATTTTAAAATCGGAGTTTATGTTAAAGTTTCGTTTTATAAATACAGCGTAATAAAACTTATTTTAAAATTGGAGTTGATGTTAAAGTTTCGT